TAGACTTAGACTTAGACATAGACATAGACATAGACTTAGACTTAGACAGGTGTGTTTTGGAGACGTTTCTGGTGCACGCACCTGCTCCAGGGCGGCCATTTCCCAGTCCACCCGGGAGATGCAGTCAGAGATCTGGGCCTGCCAGCGGCTCACCTCCAGGTGCCGGGAGCTCAGGTACCCCACCGTGTTACGGGTGGCAGCGGGCACCTGGTGAGGGAAAGGGGGGTTATTATACAGGATATTTAGTTTAGGAGGCAATTCAAAGTGATTCAGAAAGAATTTTAAAAGAAGGAAAACAAAAAAAGAAAAAAGGAATCAATGAATAATTAGAAAAATTAGATAAAAAGTGTAGGGTGCATATGAAATACATTCAATTTCCATATACACAGTTAAAAAAAAAGAAAATATTCAACAATTAGAAATATTAGATGGATAAAAAGTGAAGGGTGCCAATAAAATACATTAGATTTTCATATACACCGTTAAAAAAAAGAGAAAGACCAACAATTTGAAAAATTTGATAGATAAAAAGTGAAGGGGAACAGATAAAGTACATTCAGTTCCCATATACAGAGTAAAAAAAGAAAAAGAATCAACAATTAGAAAATTTGATGGATAAAAGTGAAGGGTGCAAATAAATTACATTCAATTTCCATATACAGTACACAATTAAAAAAGAAAAAGAATCAACTATTATAAAAATTTGATGAATAAATTGTGAAGGGGAACATAAAATACATTCAGTTCCCATATACAGAGTAAAAAAAGAAAGAAAACGAACCACTAATTAGATAAATTAGATGGATAAAAAGTGAAGGGTTCAGAGAAAATAAATTCAGTTTCCATATATACAGTTTAAAAAAAGAAAAAGAATCAACAATTAGAAAAATTAGATGGATAAAAAGTGAAGGGTGCCAATAAAATACATTAAATTTTCGTATACACCGTTAAAAAAAAGAAAAAGACTAACAATTAGAAACCTTAGATAGATAAAAAGTGAAAGGTTCAGATAAAACTCATTCAATTTCCACATATACATTTAAAAAGAATCCTTTTCTGGATCTGAAAGTAAAAGACAACCCCCAAAAAACAAACAGGAAAAGCTGAAAACGCCACAGAAACACAGAGTTTCTCCTCAAATTTCAGTTGTCCTATATCTTCTATCTATCCAAACATATTTCCTGTCCTCTCAGATGAACCCATCCCTCTCTGGACCGGGTCCTTACCCTGGAGACGTCGTCCCCCAGGCTGCAGTAGATCTGGTCCTGCAGCAGCTGCGGGTTTTCTCCCCTCTGGACCTGGGTCCTGCAGTTCTGCCCTCCGGCCACCGGGGGCAGCGTGACCCCCGGGGGCAGATCCTCCCGCAGAGAGCAGCGCTTCCTGAGGGAAAACAGTTTAACAGGCCATTTAAATTAGACTTAGACATAGAGACTTAGACTTAGAATTAGACTTAGACATAGAATTAGACATAGACATAGACTTAGACTTAGACAGACATAAACATATACATAGACTTAGACATAGACTTAGACATAGACTTAGACATAGACTTAGATATAGACTTAGACTTACACTTAGACTTAGACAGACTCAGACTCAGACATAGATATAAACTTAGACTTAGACATAGACTTAGACATAGACTTAGACTTAGACATAGACTTAGACATAGACATAGACATAGGCTTAGACTTAGACATAGACTTAGACATAGACTTAGACATAGACAGACATAGACTTAGACTTAGATATAGACATAGAAATAGACTTAGACATAGAAATAGACTTAGACTTAGATATAGACATAGACATAGACTTAGACATAGACAGACATAGACTTAGACATAGACTTAAAATTAGATATAGACATAGAAATAGACTTAGACATAGAAATAGACTTAGACTTAGATATAGACATAGACATAGACTTAGACATAGACATAGACATAGACATAGACATAGGCAATGCATCAGCTTTTGACCTGTTGCCATCAACTGTTGGATTGTTGAGTTCTGTTCTTGTCTTGGGTTGTATGTAAATGAAATTTCGTTTTGTGTGCACTCTGTGCATGCAAAATGACAGTAAAAGTTGTCTATGTCTAGTTGTCTATGTCTAGACATAGACTTAGACTTAGACTTAGACTTAGACTTAGACTTAGACATAGACTTAGACTTAGACTTAGACTTAGACTTAGACTTAGACGTAGACTTAGACTTAGACAACTTTACTGTCATTTTGTGTGTACGGAGTGCACACAAAACGAAATTTCATTGCATACAGCTTTAGACAAGAACAGGATTCAATAATTTATCAGTCTAATGGCAAATGGGAAAAAGCTGTTGTATAGCCTGGTGGACCTGCAGCGGATATGTTTTCTATAACTAAGAGCTAAATATATACAGGGTAGGAGCATATATATAGATATTATTGCACAGAGTTATTACAAAAGAAACATCAATGAATATTGCACTGAGTTGATTGCAAATAGAAACTATTGAGTTGAAGACAAAGCTAAACTAAAATCCACCCTTAGGCTATAATTACTCACTTTAGCATAGCATGCTATCACATGATCTATGGTACTGGTAACTATTTTTTGTGTTAACGTCTCTTGCTGTGTCCACAGACTCTCTTTTCTTTCTTTGTTCCACACTTTTAGGTCAACACAAACAGACACTATTTGTTACCACATTCCTGTCATCTACATGAATTAGGACCTGGCCTGTTCCTGCCCAGAGCTAACTGGCCAATAGGACTTGGTTGTGTCCAGTCCTCCTTTAATGTCCATCACACCCAGATCTCAGGGCTCTTTGCCCACTGAGACCCAGACCATGTCATTAAACTCTGGTTTATTCTCAGGTTTCCAACTAAAGAATCAAGCTAACAGTATGCCATCACATAATCTACGTATGTCTTATTTTCTTTTATAACTATATTTTGTGTTAAAGTCTCTGGCTGTGTCCACACACTCTCTTTTCTCCCTTTTTCTCTCTCTGTTGCATTAGATCCACCTTTAGGTCAACACACACACACACACACACCATTTGTTAGCACATTCCTGTCATCTCCATGAATTAGGACCTGGCCTGTTCGTGCCCAGAGGTAACTGGCCAATAGGACTTGGTTGTGTCCAGTCCTCCTTTGAGGAGGCGGATCGAGCCCAGGAGAAAATGCCCATCACACTGATATACTTTGCCTGTGACCTAATAAATATCATTTTTTATACTTTTGATCTACTCTGGTTTATTCTCAGGTTTCCAACTAAAGAATCAGGCTAACACAACCAAACCTGTGTAATAAATCCTAATTTAGCCTTAAAATTCTCAATAAAAGTATTCAAAGTATCAGACTCGACATTCAAAAAAGTTCTCTTAACCATTTCCATGAGAAATCACCGGACTCAGAAGTGTACTCACCACATTTGTGCAGTTTTAGAAGGATTTCGGTCGATATAAAAGGGAAATGTTCAGATAAACGTCCCCTCAGTTTAGGTCTCTGGACTAAAGTGAGCTCTTAGAAAAGAATCGGCTCTCTGTGACTTCAGATTCTGGAATCAGGCAAACAAGCAGCGGAATGACATCATTCAGAACACGGAACCCTCCAACATTCCCTCAATATATACACATTATATATATATATATATATATATATATATATATATATATATATATAAAGGTATATAAAGGTTTATATAAATATATGTCGCTTTTATATATATATATATATCATTCAGAACACGGAACCCTCCAACATTCCCAATACACACACATTATATATATATATATAAATATATATAAAGGTTTATATAAATATATGGTGCTTATATATATATATATATATATATATATATACACACACAAAATAACACGATTGGTGTTTAAGTTGGTTATTAAAAGATCAATAAATCTGTCAAATATGGTAAAATTTGCACTGCAAGTCCCCGATTGGCTATTGAAATAATTCTTAAAGCTAAAAAGTTGAGTTATTCAGTGTCTATACTTTAGTAAATAAAGACAAAATAAGGGTTTTTGAAGGTTTTTCTTTCAGCAGCTCTGAAACTCAGGGTCCTTATGCGTATTAAACATAAATATCCATAAGTAAATATTGGTTTGATTTTGCTGTGTGAGCACATTTACAGTATTTTTCTCTGGACCATCAGATCCCAATGAGCAAAAATGTGAAGAACGACAAAGAAAAAGACCACGGCAGTCATTTTTTAGAGTTTTATTG